GCGACAGAGTGATACTCCATCTAAAAAATAATACTAATAAAAAAGAAACTTCTAAGTTTGTATCCATCTTTATTATTCATCTCCTTCCAAATCCTCTTGGCCAGTCTCAGTCATTGTTGAGCTCGCCCTTACCCTGTGGCAAAGCCTACACTTGCAACGTGTTCCACTTCTTGTTTTCCTCCGAAACACGTTAGTGACGTGTTAGCAGCATAGTGCTGGAAGAAAGTAGACCCTAAGTTAGTTACTATCCTTTTTAGAGGTGAAGGATGCATTTCAGCATACAGCCTCATGCACATAGCTATATCTCAAAACCGGCATTTTGTCCCAAACGTCACCCCCACAACACCTCCACACACCTAATTCTTCAAAATACAGCTGGCACCACTCTAGCTTAGTGGTTTTGTGTCTCTCACTAATTATTCCCTACATGGGAAACATTTCCGCCTTTCTCCCTTCCTTGTGGCAGCCACACAAGAGAACTGAGATTGTTCAGGATCCCTGTGAGGGCCTCCTCAAGTCCGTGCCTGCTCCCCAACCTAGATGGTTCCTGTGGAAAAGAGATAAAGAGTAGGGACAGAAAGGGGCCCCCAGTGTGCCTTTAAAGCAGGAAACACGTTACTGGGTTTTCTTGGCTGCCTGGCTGAGTGAGCTGTTTATTTCTATGAATAAAACTCCATATTCACTGCAAAAGTATAACAACACCACCGAATAATAATATACTGTAAGACTGTGTCGTCTAAGGATGCCAGGGCTCAGCTCAGGCTTCTGTTTTTCTGATATCAAGTAACAAAATGCACCCTCTCCTTTTTGCCCTCTTCTCCCATGGTGGTGAGTGAGCTTTGAAACCTTTTTGATTCTGAATAAGCAGCAGAATGAAAGGGCCTTCATTTAAAATGGGGAGGCTGAGCCAGCTTGCTTTCTCTCCAGCTTCCTCCGTGAGCTTAGGAGCCGACCTTTTGGCTCAGCGACAGGCCTGCTGGTTAAATGCAACCACTGAACAATCACTTTACAGGATTTCCACCTTATTAAAAATCGAGTATGGCCACCAGGGATTCCAGCATAAAGGTAATAAAAGAGCACCTAATAAAAACTTTAAAACGTGTTAAAACACACACATTCCAAGACTGGTAGGTAGAGCGATCTTTAACCTCCACTAACCCCTGAAGACTAGGATTCAAGAACCCGAGATGAAAAAATGAAACTAGAGCTACAGACTTGGAATTAGAGGACACTTTCAAACCCTAAACATTCTTTTTTTCTTCCTCCAAAAAAATTGTTTCCTAAATGGTGGAACACTCATGCTGACTGCATTGTTTATACCTGATTTATACTTTCTCTATTTCAAAATGTGGGCACTAGTTCTATAAATCTGTAAAAAAATGAAAACATATGAACACTTGATGACAAAACCATGTTTTCTAATTTTAATTAATGAATTAAGATTTACATGGAGAAAAATCAGAGTGTCAACCTCTATAACCTTGGATGACATATATCTTACATCAGAGCACAGGCACAGTTTCTCTGTCATACCCTTACCTGCTAATAAAGAAAAAGTATAAAAGGTAAATTTTTTGAGCACTTGCTGACATTGTCTTTTTGCTGTTCCTCTTAGTTTTTTCTTAGGTAACTTCAGAAGGGATCTGGTTTTAAATTTAATGGAACATGTAGATGTTCTCCAGTGCTGACGTATAAGTGATTTTTCTTCTTGTCATTCAGCTTATACACGTTTGCATTTTCCTCTGGAAAAGCAATGCTGGTTCCCATCATAGGGAACACAGTGAGACTGTGAGTGCCATATTTATTAGATTCGTTTCTGAATATGAGTAGAGTTAGAAAGAGGGCAATGCAGAGGATGTGGAATTATCCTCTCATTGGCCAGTGGTGACTAGCAGCTGTGGCAGAAGAGTTAGGAGTCAGATTCTAGAAGCCAAATTTTCCTTATAAAGTGGTGGGATGTGATGGGGAAGGTCTGGAACCAGCAGGCAGCTTGTTCTGCTTCTTTTGTTAACAACTTGTTTAGCTTTAGGCAAGACATGGCACACCTTTCTCCCTCAGCCTTGAGGAACATTTCATCTGCAAAATGGGTGCATATGTGTGTGTGGAGGGTGGGGGGCGGGTAAGTAATCTCTAAGCTCTGAGCTTTCACACTCTGATTATTTGATTATGGAATCAGAAAAATTTGAAAGGCCCTCCTAGGATTTGCTACTTCATTGCCTTGTGTTATAGCAATTTTACCAAAAGCACTCGGGATAAAGGCAACCTGGTCTAAATCAATGCTAAAATAACTCATTTAGGGAGTGCTTTCTCTGTGGGCTTCCAACAAATGTAACTAGGATAAAGATCTTCAATCTTTTCTCTCCAGAGGATGGGGAAGAGGACCCCCCTTGCTGAAAAAAATAGATTGTGCCCTATAAATTATGCCCTAATAAAGGCAAGCGGCTGTGCAGGGTTTTACTCACCATTGTATTCTGAATACTTAGCAAGGTGCCTATAGGCACTGAATGAATATCTGTTGAATGAATGAATAAAGGAAACATTCATCAGGGTCTATGTGTGACTAAGGATTTTAAAGAGATATCTGATTTTTAATGGGGCAATTTCTCATGCCAGGAAAGCTCAATGGACACAATTTATAAGTGTGGGTAAGGCTTAGGGAAGGACAGAAAAAGGAAAGAAATTACACTGCTTTGAACAATAATATGGTTCTGCCTTTATTGTGAGTTAAGACTGAGTGGGGAAAATATTTCTCTTATGCACCGTTGGTTTAGAGCGTTACACTTTCTGAGAATGCTGACCAACAGGGATAGGTGTGTTTTCAGTTTACCTCTTGAAGATGACTAAATCAAGGGTCTACATCCATCTAGTGTTCTGCTGCAGGACTTAAGTGTCAAAACCAGAACACACTCCTTGGGATGTGGTGTTGATAGGGACAGGAGGCAGAGAAATTCTGGGCAGAAAAGGGTGGGGCCCTTACCAGGGGGCCCCACCCTCAAGCCTGAAACAGTGGCCCAAAGTGAAAACTTTATATCCCCGTTTTCTCGCTTGAATGTTGTCTTTTCCAAAACCACCCCTGGCTCTCCCTGCCTCCCATCCTGTATCCACAGAACCCCCAGGCTCCACTGGCAGAGAGTAGAGAAGGGGAGGGAGGAGAAGAAGCTCAACATTAGAGAATGGGATTTGATGTAGAGAGAACCAGCTTGACTTCAGAGAAATTGCTTTGGAAGATCACCTTCCTGCTCCATCCCACTTTCAGCTCCCCTTCCCACTGAGAGCCACTTTAATTGGCAACGAAATCCTCTGCATTTACTACCCTTCAATTCATTTGTGTAACCTAATTTTTCCTGGACATTGAACCAGAGCTCGAGTTCCATGGGTGGGGGCTCTAAAGGCTGTCACACTGACCCTCTGCCATCGCTGAAGGAGAGCAACTGCCTCATGGGAAAAGGCAGTGGGCCCACTGAGCTGTTTAACACTTACGCTGCCTGCAGGTGGCAAAGCTAAAAGAGCACTATAACACATACCCTCTGGGGCTTTGGGGGTTGTGGTTACTCCCCCCGAGATGCTGTTGCAGGCCCACATGGAATTTTGCTCCTGCCAGCACCCCAAAGCACTCCTTCCGGCTCCAGTACCCCCTCATCTGCATGCTTTCCCTCCCACAAGGGATTGAGAGCTTCAAGCTAAGTGAGGCCCACAAAGAGGTCAGGGCAAATTCCCTGTTTCAGTGTCAGGCCATTGTGACCTATTATCCTCAAGGCCTCTGGTTCTTACTCCAGACCAAGAATCTCAGACCTGGGAATTGTATTGCTGCAGAGGAGGTAGATATCATAGATAGAGAGGGGTTTCTCAAAAGGTAGTCAGAGAGGAGTGCAGGTTAGAAGGAAGTTGCTCTTGAAGACATGAGCATATGGGACCCAAGTTAGGATCTGAGATTTTCTGAGGTGGCTTTTATGAAGGATTTAACTTCTGGGGTATTTTTCTTTTGGAACATAAAAAATTTAGTTTAGTGTAAGGTTTAAAAACTTTCTTTCCTTTCTGTTGAAACTTCCCTTAATTATTTTAACCTTTTAGGAGATTCTGATAGTTTCACTTCTCTTGCCTTTTTAGGCACTTAAAAGAACTAGAAAATAATAAATAAGGGTGTTTTTATTTTAGAGAGACCTGCCATACTTACTTTTATTTTTTGTCAAGGAAGCAGAATCCCACAAACTAAACTTCGGTACCCAGGAAGGTCCTGGGGAAGCCAAATATATGCAGCTGAGTCACTGTGCCCAAAGCCCACCTCGGTTGGCCTTCATTATGATAATACTTTTTCAAAATGAATGCCTTTAATGGGGCTCACCAAATTTTTGAGCATTTAACATTTTCATCATGTAATCAATAGCATAGATGTGGAAAAAGCAGCTTGGCTTTGTCAAGGACCATGTTAGCTCAAATAGTTTGTGTTACAATAGGACCATTATTATTTGCCCAGACAACCTTGAATGCTTCTTTGTGGTAATTGTTTGGTCAATTGGACAAGAATTATCAGCAACAAAGGCAGCACAGAAATATAAAGATCACACATTTGTTCTCATTTCCGGAGGAAATATTTTGGAAGACAGATTTTCTGGAGTGTCTTTTTTCCCCTGGTCTCTAACTTCATTACCTAGTCCTGAATTCTATGATTGCTGTTGCTTACTCATAGATTGTGATGACTCAGAAAGGAGTAGCTGCCAGTCTAGAAAACTCTGCTTTTGCCTGGTAAGCCAAGGACCCCAGGATGCTGAGAGCTTTAAAGTGCCATTCAGGCAGGGAAATAAAAGTTAAGTCAGGCCTAGACACTCAAACAGTTGGTTTTTCAGTCTGCAAAACCATTCTTCTATAATTACTGAAGCCAGAAGTTTTTTAAACTAGAAAAAAATTTAAATTTTTTCTTCATTTTTATTGTTGTTATTATTAAGATAGCTTTTTATTCTTTTAGAAGACAATACAGCCACATCTCAGTACCTTAATTTGGGTAATTTTTTTAAAGGGATGAATTACCACATTTTGTTTATAATTATAAGGATCAATGGCTGCTTCAGGCCCCCCGTAAAGCCAAGAGTCCATTTGCTGAGAAATAGAAACAGAAAACTAAGCTGATTTGCCTGGAGAACTTCTACAGGCTAATGGTTTGAGAGAGGTTTTATCTCTCTAACGAGTGTAATATTAAAATTAGGTGGGTTCAAGAGGGTTTATTTTTGCAGTATTTGAACTAAATATATATAGACATCTGCAAATGCCAATCATATAACTTATGTGGGCACAATGAGTTGTTTGTGCTAACACATATGCTGACAGCATTTGTTTTATGCACCTGCTTCTTCTCCAGCTCCAGTTTGCTTCGATCATTTTGATTTTGTTTTAATGTGCAGGCGTCTGCTGAAGTGTCACCACTTAAAGAGCATCTGGGCTTGTATGGGTTTTCAAACTGAATCCACATTTTAACAGTTTCTCACCTCTCTATCTGGATTAGAAAATTACCGACATCATGGTAAGCAATATTAATCGTTCTTACACATTTCAAAGTGTTTACATTTGCTTCTTGGTTATAATCCTCAATTTGGAGTTTGGCTCCTTGCTTTGTCTCAGGTTCCCTTGGGCCTTACAATGATGCTTATCATTTGCATAGCACTTTTAAAATCCCTTTCAATTGTTAATTAATTAATTCATAAAATGTCCTTTCACAGTCTCCATTTAATGCATAAATAAGCAAACTGAGCCAAACAGAGGTTAAATGACTAGGCCAGAACCATACGTGGGTTTGGCTAAGTCCTTTCATTAATTTTTTTAAAATTTCCGGGAAGGAAGACACATTTTAATTCAAGGACTCACCAAAATTTGCAACTTCAGCATCATCCTATAGGGTCCGTTCATGAATTTGGATAATCTGGGGAAATACTTGCTTTGTATAGTGTTAGGTTTTCCAGTGGAAATGAGGTGTCCTGGGTAGCTTCTTAAGATCATGGGACCTGCTACAATCTACAGGCTCAGGCCAAGCCTTTGAAAAGGATGAGCTCTCCAGCCTTTTCTTAAAATTAAGCTGTTTTTTGATGTTTTCTGAAACATAAGAATTACTGCCCTGGAATACAATATTGCTTTGGATAGTACAAATACAAAAATAAGATAGAAAAGGTTTTTCTTACTAAATGCCCAAGAAAAGTGTGCTTTTTCTGCTCCTTGTCACACTTGGGATCTACTGGGCACCTTTAGCATCTGGTGTACTGCAAGACTTCAGTAAAGACCTGCTTACTTGGCTATTACCCTGAGTTCAGAATAGCATCTAAGCTGGGAAGAAAAGCTCCTGCTCTAGAAAAAGAGTAAAGGAAAGATAGAAAACAGAGAGCTGGTTGAGAAGGTGTCTGTCTGGGGGAAATGGATGGGGGAGAAGGGGCAAGCCACTGGAGAGTAGTGATTACTTCTGAAATGGTCACTAGGTTTCCTGTACCCAAGTGCCATGAAAGGAACTAAATGGGATATTATCTCAGTTTCCTAGGGCTACTGTAACAAATTACCGTAAACGGGATTTCAAGCAAAAGAAACCGATTCTTTCACAGTTCTGGAGGCAAAAAGTCCAGAATCAAGATGTCAGCAGGGCAACTCCAAGATGTCTCTTTGGAGGCTCAGAGGGAGAATTCGTCCCATGCCTTTCTCCAAGCATCTGATGGCTGCTGGTCGCCATCGGTGTTCCTTGGCTTGCAGCTGCATAACTGCAGTCTCTGCCTGCATCTTCTCATGGCCACCATCTCCCCACATCTCTGTGCCTCAAATGTCCCTCTTCTTTCTCTTTCAAAGACATCAGTCATTGAGTTTAGAGCTCCCACTAAATCTAGGATGACTTATCTTTCTTAACCTTAACTATATTTGCAAAGACCTTATTTTAAAATAAAGTCTTACTCATCCGTCCTAGAGATCAGAACTTGGATATATCCTTTTGGACGCACAATTCAACCCACTACAGATATCATTTCTCCAACCTTGGGTCTGGAGAGAAGCTGAAATAGTGACTGGGGTCCACTGCACCCTTGGGTTTCCAGATGAAGATGGCTAGTGAGTGTTTCTGGAGACAGCTGACACATGCTTCCTTCAGCCTCTCTTCATCCAGCTCAAGGGAGGAGTTGCTTTGCAGCCTCAAGAGTCCCCACTGTATCTGGTGTCTATGGGAGAAAGCCTGCTTTCTGGGTGGCAGAGACAGCCTGCATGCCATGCATACGAGCAGGCAGACACTTCCCCTTTCTCCGGGCCCTGATCCTATGATGATTCCTTAGGCAGCTGGGAGAGAAGAGTAGCTCTATAACTCCTGGGTTCATGAACATTGTAAATGGGAGATTTCTTTGCTCATGGTAATACATGGGAGACAAATTTGGGTACTCTAGCAGTGTCTTTGAGCTGACCCGATCCTCTTGTTCTCTTGCCAGACACCCCAAATTTTCTCTTTGGGGGTCTCCACAATCTTCTCATTACCTAAGTTAGTAACCTGATGTATCATCCTGGTTGTTCCCTCTGTCTCACCTGTTATACCGAATCAGCCCCTGGATATATTGATTCTCCAGCTTTCCATTTCCTCATCCAGTCTTTCCGTTTCATCCTCATCAGCTCTCTTCTCTTTCAGGCCACCATCACCATCTCCTGAACTACTCACCTCAGCTGCTTTTCTGGTTTGTGTTCCTCCAATTAATTCTTTCTTCCAATCTTACCTGCTACTCTGCTGTGATATTGATACTTCTATCAATTTTTAGGTACTCTCCTACTTTAAATCTTCTACTGGTCTCTGTGACTGATAACACCCAAACTCTCTAGCAGCCCACAAACCTCTTCATGATCTGATGTGTGACAGATGCAATTGTACTGCTGGGTCTGCTGTCAGTGCTGCAGACATGACTTCTGCTGAAAGAACCCCTGGGTGCCACAATCCTGAGGCGGGTGCTCCAGTGCATAGCAGACCTCTTCACCCAGCCCAGTGCTTACCAAACCCACACACCAAGATGCTACCAACCAATCAGCAATACTCAAGACAGTTTACTTTTTAAATACAGAGTGTGGACTCTTGGCTTTAAAAAATCTATCCTGTTTCTTCTTCTCCTGAAACCTCGTCTCCCAGAGCCTAGAGAGACTCTGTGCTGGATTCAGTTTCCTGCTTGGCAGTAAAAATCTTTTCCCCTGAGTATTCAGTCATTGGCTCTTTAATTTTTAAACAAACAAACAAACAAAAAACACCTCTATCTCTAAAGCCTCATATTTCCTCCATTTCCTCCAAAATTCTCTGTATTCTAACCATTCCAAACTTCTTAGAATTCCCTTAATAGCCATGCTTTGATCCCTCCATGTACTGTTAATGGTGTTTCCTCTTCTGGGAACACCAAATGGCCTGTGTTCACCTGACTATCCTTCCAGCTTCAGTATTTGGTCTGCTGATTCTCTTAGGCAGGCCTGGGAGC